TTGTTAAGGACTGGAGCAGTCTAGAGAAGGATCCCAAGGATCCCAGGTGCTTCATAACCTCCATGTGCACATCACCACTGAAATGCAGCCACATCGGGGGGTGGCCAACAGCCTGAGCACTGTCTTGTAGGGAGCAGACACCACAGGGAGCCCTGCTGCTCTCTCTCGTGGGGGGGGAGGGAGCGAAGGGGGGATTCAGAAAGTCCTTCCTTCTCCCTATTGTGTTGCGCTGCCTTTTTGCTGCCATGCTTCTTGCTCTCCCAGCCGCTTGTACCTCCTAGCACCACCCATTCCCACTACAGCACATGCCAATGAACCTCCCTGGTGGTGGTGGGGGAGGCCAACTTTGTAGATTCCCAGCTTCGTAACAATCCTTCTGGAAGTACAAAATAATACAGCCAGCACAAAGGAACAATGGTGTGAAATCTGAGCTTCCCCATGGCCGGGAACTTCCTCGCCTGTTGGACTCATGCTTCCCACCCTTTCCACCTCCCTCTCCGCTGACCAGAAAGCAGCTAGTGCCAGACCTGGGGAAGGAGCAGGAGGCCCTGCCCAAATTGCTTCAGTAATCGCAGCCTTTTACAGTGAATAAAGGAGACCTTGACTGCTGGGAGGGAAGCAGGCAGCAGAGCTGCCAGTGCCCATGGATACTGCAGGGAGTGCAGCTGGGGGCCTACAGCGTCACAAGCTGGACTCTTTTGTGGGGAGCTGTCCAGGTGCACGCTCAAGAACTGGGCATTTTCCAAATCAGTAGGGAGGAGCTGTGGTATCCTGACCTGCCTTCCTGGCTGTAGTAAAGCAAGCTCCCAGGCTTGATGTGACCTTCATGTGGGGTGGCCTGCATAGCCCAACCCGTGCACAGTGTGCCATGTGGGGTTCTAGGAGAGGGGGAACCAGCTGCTAGTGCAGGGGTGGCCAATAATTTTCGCAGGGGGCACTACTTAATGAATTTTGGCATGTGGTTATGGGCCAGCTTCACTACTCACAAGGGGCGAGGTCTGGGGCAGAAGGGGCGGGGCTGGGGACTAACCTCCCCCCAGAGCCAGAGGCATTGAAGTAGAAACACAGCAAAGGGCTTGTTGCCTGGCAGCCGCTTGGGGTTGCTGCCGCTATTTTAAAAGTTTGCATCTCTGGCCTCTTCAGGGGCAGCACCACAACCAGGAGCCATTTCAATAGGATCCTGTGTGATGCTTAAAAGAAGCACATGGGATCTTATTCAAGGGAATAAGGCAACACACTGCATTTATTGATAATATAACAATGTAACATACATATACACACACACTCACACACACCCTGATGATGGAATAGTTACCAGTCTGTTGCTCAACCCAACCTATTGGCCAGATATGTCAGGTGTGAGGAAGGAGCTGGGTTCTTGTCAGTCCGGACTGATGCTCCACGTGGCAGGACGAGAACCCAAATAATCCTACAAGACACCCCATCTTTTATAGGATTTTCTTTCTATGCATTTTGCCTTGTCAGGCCTTAATCAGTCACTCAGCATCACAATCAGTTTTTCTGCAACATATGTTTATCTGGAGGTTGTTCTCACAGTCATCTGATATCAGTATACTGATGACCCCTCCTGGGGCGTTGTCTTTCCAGCAAAAGTTGTTATCGGTTCCCTATCAAGGGGTGCTTGCCACTAACTTCAGGTTCGTCAATCTGCCCTGGTAGTCGTCTCCAGTGTGCTTTCACTTAGTTGATAATTATTTGGGGCTTCTGAATCTCCGGCCTTCCTCTGACCATCTGGGCATGCAGTGGCCTTCACGCTTATCTCTCCTGAAACATTTTCTCTCTCATTCACACAAACAATACATTTAAAGAATTGCACCGTAGGACAGAAGGGTTCTTTCCACATTAAACTTCTGTCTATTACAAGGCCTTGCCTAATATTAACATCATTATGCATTACAATATTCCATCCCTTCACTTTAACATCCGAACATGCTAACATCAAACAGAGCTGGTGCTAAATTAACAAAGCTGCCTGACCTGTCTGAGGCCTACATCTTTTATTTAAGTTTAATCCAAACCTTTTGCTATAACATACATTCATTATAACTAACTTATTAGCTACAAAATTCCAGGGCTACACCTGCTGCCTGAGCCACGGCCTGGAAATTCAGTGGCACAGGCAGCAGGATATAAATAGAAAGCCACCAGATGCCATCCGTGGGCTGAATCCAGCCCCTGTCTCACATTTTGCCCCGCCCTGTTCTCGTGTGAGGAATCCTGTGAGGGCTCGCAGGTGTCGGTTCAGTACTAGCTTTGGTGTTGTCTGCATGGGATTGTGAACAATTTATCCGATGAAGTTGGCCACATCATTTATATATATATATATAGTTGCCCAGTGTCTGTGCGTCTGTAATGCTGACGTAGATGGCCACGCCCCCCTTCCCCTCCCTCCGTGGTGGTTTGGCCAAGCGCTGCGCCGCTCAGCTGGGCCCCAGCCGGGGAGCAAGCAGCGGCAAGCAGCCATTTGGGGTCTATGCTCCCCATGTGTGCTCAGCCCGGCCTGGCGGGAGCGCTGCTCAGCTGGGCATGGAGGGAGGGGAAGAGGGACAGGGCACCACGCAGGGAAGAGAAGGGGGGGCGGAGCTGGCCAGAAGGGGGCAGGAAGCAGAGCTGGGGGGGATCGGGGGCTGTGGGGCTGGAGGGGAGAATGGGGGGTCCTGGAGGAAGGGGGGCAGTGCTCCCAGGGCATTGTGGGTAACAGAGTGGGGGGACCCA